ATGCGCTGAAAAGTGGAACGGCGTGACTGGAATAAACGGCCCTAGCGACCTCAGCAACAACGGACTGTCCATCAAGAACACCTTATTTGAGAATCGAAAAGTGCATCAGTACACCTGGTACCGGCAAGCTTGTGCACAGAAGTCGATGATCGATTTGATAATCGTATCGTCTGACTAAAGTCACTCTGTAAGGGATGTTCCCGTTAAAAGAGGCGCAGAACTATCAACCGATCACTACCTTGTTATTGGAACACTGCAAGAAATGGAGTATCATACGAAGGTCTTGTGGCAGAAGCAACTAGAAAATAAAATGAGAAACATTATCTTTGGTGGATACGAGAGAGAAATTTGCAAACAACATCGAACGACGGTTTGAACAGAACCCGAGGATGATCACTGACGTAGAAACCTAGTGGCAACTCTTTAAGAAGACATACTCGAGGATGCCGCCAAATGTCGCGGATTTAAATGGGTTTGCCAGCAGCCTGGAGGTCAGAAAAGATCTACCTGGTGGACATGAGAGGTACAGCTGGCAGTAAAAGAGAAGGCAGCGTTCAAGAAATGGCTTGAAAACAAACAGCCTTCTACTCGCGTGCGATATGTCGAGACAGGCAAAGCAGCAGCAAAAGGAGTAGCGAAAACCAAAGCTGATTCCTGGGAGGAGTTCGGTGAGTTGTTGCAATCAAATTCCTACACGGCAAACAAGGTATTCCGGACGACCATCCGCCGCTCCGAGGTGTAAAGAAAGACAGTCTAACAGTCTTGAAGGACAGGCCTGGCCACGCTATTACCGAGGTTTATGACATTCTTCGGCGGTGGAGGGAGTGCTTTCAGGAATTCTCTAACCCCGAGCAACTGCAGGAAAACTCGCTTGTAGAGTAGGAGGGAACCAGTATTGCTGTCTCTGTAGATGAAATTAAACAAGCTGTTGAAAGCTTGAAATTTGGAAAGGCTGCTGGAATTACTGAAATTCACCCCGAAATGCTCAAGGCATTAGGCGAGCAAGGCAGCTGCTGGCTTACACGTGTTTGTCAAACTGCGATGACTGCGGGAAAGACACCAGCGGACTGGAGAACGGGAGTTATTGTAC